AGACCGCATCATTGAGCCTCGCAGAATAAAAGAAGAGCAAAATAACACAAATGCGAAGGGAATACATGATAAAAAGACCATTCACATATTATAATATCTAGAGTTGTGGAAAGAGCGCACTCAAAATTGACTTCTAGATGTTTTTCACTCAAGTTCTTCAGGCATTAATTCTTAATAAGAAGTCAGCCGCGTCAGTTGAAAACATATTTATTTGTCTTAAAAGCACTTAGAGCACCTTATTTTCAACATCCCATGACGACCTGTTATGCAAATTTTAATCCTCATGCAAACGAATTCGAGTTCCAGTCTTAGTTCCAATTGTCTTCTTGGTGTTTTTCCTTTAAGTTCCAGATGTCTTCCTCTTGAGGTATCAATTATTAAGAAGTTAATAAGGACGGAACAATTTATTTTGAATAACAACGTCTGTTATGTAAACTACGTAGACTTTGAACTTGAAATGATAAATCAACATCTGTTGTAGATAAAGGGTAATCATTTAAACTTCACACGCTATTTCATATTGACTGTATACTCTCGACCAAACAGAGTTTTCATCGTAAGTTTAGTGTACGGTAATGTTAGTGATTGCATTGGTACATGCATATGTCACACACTCACAATATTCTCGATTCTTCTATTTGCATCTTCCGAGAATTGTTCTCGACAAATGCTGTTGTAGTAGCGTTAATTATACACATACTGCTATGAACACTCTGAAAACGTCCCAAAAAAAGTTGTATTCACAAGATTTTCGAGGAAACCGAGATCCAATCAAATGGCGCGCATTGCATTTGCACGTGTTAGGAAATCGATACGTCCAATCAGGAGCTGCGTATCACATGAAATTTTATGTGTGAACCGTATCAATGCCATTCTCATTTAACCCTCCGCTCCCACCCAGGGCTTTTTCTTTTCGATTTGCTTTGTTTACAAAATAAAGAAAAAATAATAATACATTAAAAAAATTAATAAAAAAGATGACAGAGAAATAACCTTGTATTAGTCAGACTTCTGCAGAGGATTATGTGGAATAGAAATCCACGCAGAACAAAAAACCACAAAACAGGAAACAAATATGTATTTCTCGGCACATAGCTCAAGGCTGTTTTATCATGGAACTTAACGCCTTTTAGAGGGGAATGATACGTATACATAACCTTTTTTAACGGTGAGAAAAGGGTTCGAGGTCAAAACTTATCTTAAAGACATTTATTTTACAATCCTGTTAGCTATGTATTAGTTTGCAATGCAGATAGCTAAACAACTTCAGCTTTAAAACAGTTTTTTTGGCACACCAGCCATCAGCCAGTCGAAAAAATTGCCTATAAAAAGCTTCAATTATTCGACTGGAAGAAAATTCGAAAATGTTTTGCAAGGCTTTAGGGTGTAGAAATTCTCGCTGTTAAACCGAAACTGACACTTTCTTGGCTTTCCGGTCAGATAAATGCTACTTACCTTCTGAAAAGGCAACAGAACAGAGGAATGACAATAGAACACAGGTCCAAATGAAATGCGTATCAAAAAATCATTCACAGATTTTATGCTCTCTGGTCTTGAATTTGGGTCATTGATATGATATTTACTACTTAGTTTTTTTGTTTTTTTGTTTTTTTTTTTTTTCACACAACTGAAGCACCAGATGTCTCACTCTATAGAAATTAATTCTTAACAAAGGCTTGATAAAGAAAAATAGTAATAACTTTGTTTCAAAAGTGTTTAGAACAATTTAATCTGAATAAAAGTCAAGTCTGTTATGGAAATTCTTAATCCCCGAGCATTTTTGCATAATAATGCAATTTACATCGAAGTTAAGCGACACGTAGCTGTTTAAATGAAATGTTTACTTGCGATGGGTTTTTTATGTTTTTTCCCTTGGCAACCTAATGGTTAATTGTCTTGTATTACTTGTTGCGTGACAACATCCGGGCATGTGCCGAGAGGTCTTAGGGTCAAATCAATACATGACCCTCTAAGAGCAAAGGTCGGTAAGTGCACAATCTGCTGCTATCGTGTCATTCTATTCTTTGACTCTCTGGGAAAGGAGTGTTTTTTCCATCGCTCGGTTTTATTAAGAGGTACGCTCTCAGTTTATTCTCTTCTCCAGTATCTTCCATTGGTTACATTGGCCAATTTTTTTATTATCCTTACATTTGCCAACTGTTGATTATCGCGTATCGCGTTTCAATTTAATTT